TCTGACTAGTTCTCCAGTGACCAAATTGTTGATGTATCAGAAGTTGAGATCAGCTAGCTTGCGGTGCCATAGCCAGCTGACTTCGGATACTGCTTTGGATAGGAAGCATAACTGCATTTTGCCTATGATCAGAGAGACATCAATATGATACATAGTACCTTCGGATCTGGACTTGATCAGACATGTGTTCCTATCACTTGTCATTACATAGCAAAATTGATCATCAAATTCAACTCGATGGCCTGCCTTACATAGTTGGCCAACACTGATGAGATTGTGTTTAAGGCTTTCTACATAAGCAACCTTTTGAATAGAGAAGTTTCCCGTAGTAAGAAGACCATAACCTCGGATTATCCCATTCGCATTGTTGCCGAATGTAACATTTCCACCGTTGCAAATTGGCCTGAAATCCCGAAGGTATTCTAACCTTCCGGTCATGTGCAAGGAGCAGGCACTGTCAATTAACCATTCATCTTCTTATTCCTCCTTGCATAAGGCCTGAAAATTACACGGTTAGTTTAGGCATCCAAACTAGTTTGGAGCCTGGGACAAAAGGTGAATTTCTGATTGGTGCATGAACCGAGGTTGCAGGGGCAGGTTTCGTGTCAATGTTTAATCCTAGTCCTGGGTGTTTGTGAGATTTTGGAGTGTTGTGTCTTTTTGAAAAATTACGAGGTTTCTGAATCCAACTAGATTTGACATGAGATGAACCATTCTGACAACTACATTGACATTGACAAGTTGAAGTTTTGTCTTTTGTTCTGACACCATGTTTGGTCAGCGGTCCAAATGGTGAGTTGGACTTGTGACCGGTCCGAGGTTGGTAATATCTGACAATGGTGCTGTTGGACTTCTGAAAAGTTTGTTTTGGAAAAGGTTTAGCAATGTAGATGTTTGAGACCTTTTTATTGGTTTTGGTAAAATACCCTTCCATTTGTCAAAATTCTGATGTGATTTTACAAGTGTTGGAGTGGGTAAGATACCCTTCCATTTCGGATCATATGAGGAATAGATTTGAAAACCATTGCTTCGAAAAGTTTGGTTCTTTCTTTTGGATTGTGTCAGATGACTTTGGAATGACTGATGGAACTGTACATTCCCTTTTGCATGTTTTCTTGATAGAAGAGTTTTTCGAAAAATAGTGTGAGAAAACAAATTTTTCTGGACTCTTAGATTTTGGAAATCTGATATGCCTTTTGTTTTTCGAAAAGTTTTGTCTATTTGTGCCTCGTGATCGAATTTCTTCTTTGAAAGCCTTTTTAGCTAAGGTTTTTGGGGAACCACAGTCAATGGTGTTCAGCTGCGGTTTCCTGGAAACCTTTGAAAATTTATGAATCGAGGGCTTGAGTCATCCGAACTTGAAGATTCAGGGATTTGAGAGCATTGACCCACTTCAAAGTTTTCTATGGGTAATTCATGATGAATTGGTTGAAGAGTCACATAACCTTTATTTGAGAACTGCGGTAAGGATGATTTGACTACCGCAGAGTAAGTCTGTGTTGGGACTTCAGTGGGACTTTTGTGGGACTTCTGTGGCTCATGACTACAATGAGAGACACTGTGGTCTGAGGGTAGAGGTGGGAAGTCTTGCGAGACTTCAGGACCGTCAATAACAATTTCTTCATCAACTACGGATGAGGTTTGAGAATTTGGGTAGATTGTGCCACAGATAGGAATTTGATCACTTGTGTGACCCGCAACCTCAGGCACAATTTCCTCAATGACACAATTATTGCTTAGATTATGAAGTCTACCGAAGTGTGTTCTGATGTATTCGGGAAAAGTCTTGTCATTGACTGGGAAATGAAATTCTCGGTCCGGAGGGACATACTGTCGATCTTTGTTAAACCGGGGTGAGGAATCCATTGCGGTAGGATATCCATTTGACCAACCCCAATTGTTTGTATTGTCCACGGTTCCATTATTTACCAAATTTTGAATAGCTTCACTTTCATTGAACAATTTTTCTATTAAAAGATTTAAGCGTACAATTTCACTCTGAGCTAAATCTTTCTGGTTCAAAGCTATCTCTAATTGTGTTTCACTCAACATTCTTGCATCTTTTTCTAACTCTAAGTCCTTTTCTAACATAGCCATTTTGAGTCTTTTGTTATCCAATCGTCCACTCACATGGAACATCTCTTGGGACGCAATGTTCTTCTCATCTAAGGCTTTGTTATAGTCTGTAAGGACGACAGCACACGTGTCATTAAGATTATCTATGAAAGGTTGACAGTCATCCATGTTATAGTTTAGAGTTTGGATCATGAGTTTTACCTGTTCGACGATGCTTAGAGTTCCATCCTTAGCCATGTAGCAGTAATTATTTTCCAGCTTTGTAGACCCATCGTCATCCGCAGTTGCCAGCATGCAGATTTTGCCCTTTCCTTTGATACTGCTAATGGTTTCTTCTTCATCTCCAGATGACCAAACTTGGTGGTCTCTTTTGGCATGGGCAACGTATGCCCTTGACTTTTCCTTATCTTCCAATTCTTGAGCCATTCTAAGGTAGAATGCTCTGTCTTTTACTACATTGGCCTTACAATCTCTTGCAAAATGATTCTCCTTGTTGCATTTGTGACAAATCACAACATCAGTTTTGTCTTCTGAGGGAGTACCGGAGTCAGTAGTTTGATTAGACTGCGGTGCCTCCTTTGGTTGAGTATTTTGAGATTGCGGTGGTGGATGAGAACTTTTGGGATAACGAGAATGGTTATTCTATGGGTTGAAGTTACGGTTGAATGGAGGTTTGTTGAACTTCTGATTCTTGCGAAAGGAAGGAGGTGGTAGTCGATTGAACTGTTGGCTAACCAGAGTAATAGCCTTCTGAAATTCTTCTTCATCATCATACTCTGAGTCAGCTTCTTATGACTGCGGATGAGTGTCATACGAGGGAGAGTAAGATTGATTATGTGGAGCTTGTGCTATGAGAGCAAGTGGTCCTCCGAAGTCAGCACAGTCTTTGAGTACGGTGGATTCTTGTGCTTGCAGTTCTCCATAGAGCTTGTAGAGAGACAAAGAGTGAATTTTTCTATCTCCTTGGACTATCATCTTAGCCGTAGTCCAATGTCTTCCCAAACCATTAAGAAACTGAAGATTTGTTTCATGGTTACTGCGGATGGTGCCTGCATTGGATAACTTCGTGACTATTAAGTTAAACCTTTTGAAAGAATCTTCCAAACTTTCTCCAGTAAGAGCTTTGAAATTGTTGAACTCATTGAGTGCGGTTGTAAGCTTCTTATCTTGTGCTTGTTCTGAGCCTTCGTACAAATTCTTGAGAACTTCCCAGATCTCTTTTGCTGATTTGCAATTTATGATAACATGGAAGTTGTTAGGAGCAACTCCACAAGAGATTTCATAAAAAGCAACAACATCATTTTCCATTTTATCGAGATCATCCTTGGTGGGACGGTTCATGACTGGTTGACCTCCTCCTAGTCTGGGTGTGGCGCCGTCAGTTTGGACTGGTGTAAGAACTGGGACATGTGGTCCTTCTTCTACGGATCACCATACATCTCTACCAAGTCTCCTTAAGTATCTTTCCATTCTCTGAGACCAGTGACGATATTCATTTGCCACCAATATTGGGGATCGATTAGAACCACCAACACTGTTGGAGACATTCAGAGATAACGATTGTGCCATATTTCCTTGTTTTTGAAAAAGTTTTTTTTTAATAAATGAGCTTCAGTGGTATAGAAGGCCCTTTGAAAATCAGAGTTATGTTTTTAAAAAAGCAACCACTATGGCTCTGACACCAATTGTTGAGAGAAAAACTTAAGACACTTGAACAAACGTTAGAACAAGTATAGTTGCGGAATAGTTTATCTCAAAGGATCTAAAAGCTCAACAATAATAATAAGTTAACGAGTTAGATAGTTAGAGAGTTAGTTGCGGAAATGTAAGGAAATAAAAATGACAGCAGATGATATATCAAGTATACACATAAGTTGATTCATAACATGGAATGCATTCAGACCAAGTTAGTAAGTGAGATCAAACTTAGTGATTAAGTCATAAGTGACTTGCTCCGAAGAGAGATTGTATTCAGTTATGTTCTAGTGAATTTTGAGAGTAAGGAGAGATGCGTAATCAGATAGAGAGATAGAAATGATAGCATCAAAAGTTGTATTGAATAAGTGAGAATGAGCTCTATTTATAGAGTCTCAAGAATTACACTAGATCACGTCTCTAAGAGTAGCCATGCAAGGCATACTGGACAATAGAGAGTATTACAATAAAAGTAGACAAAGTAAAGTAATCTAGTAGCTAAGAGTGACTGCGGTTGATGATGACTTCGGGTGAGGCTGCTGATGAAACCTTGACTGCGGATCCTTGTGGGCTGTCGTAGCTGAAGTTCAAGAGGCTCACTTTTCATGATTCAACATATATGAATCTGAATTCTTCTTGTATCTACTATGTATCACTATCTTCACCATCTTATTTATACAAATTGTTTCAGCTATATGTATCAATTTATAACTATTTATCAGAATGTATCAATAACTATTTATGTATCAGAATGTGTATATGTATTTTAATGTATCACTATGTGTGGATTTTATCTGAATGTACCTATTTGATGTATCAATTTGTACGTGTTCATTTTCACAATCATGTATGAATCCCGTGTTGATTATTTTGTTGAATTTTTGGCATCTACATTCCATTTCTACATAAATTTCAACACAAATAGGTACTAAAACAAAAAAATGGGACAAATTAAGCTAACCACCTCATAAATTTCAACACAAATTTGTTAATTTGTTACATTATAATGTTTGCAATATCTTAGAATTATATATCGACAATGGTGCCAAATAGAGAATGGATGTACACAATTAGAGTAAAAAATAAGATTTTAAATCAAGAATTTCAATACTATTTCAAGAAATTCTTGTGATTGTTCATATGATATGATCATTATTATTTTATCAATCTTAATATTTTATATTATTTATTTGACAATTGTTGTTCTATGAAACACATGGCACATTCTTATGGTGAATCGTGGAGTCGTCCGTAAACCTAGTAGTCAGGGTTCTACGGGCAGTCATGCATCATCATCAGGAGGTAGTCAACAACATTCTGAAGGCAAACATATTTCACATTATTACAGTTCTCATCGTGCATACCGTAGACATACACCATATGAGTCTGCTCCTTGTCGTGGAGACGCCGGAGCTACATCACATTAATCAAATCCTACTAGTCGTGGAGGCTCCATATCTACATTACATTAGTCGCCTCCTACTAGCCGTGGAGGCATTATATCAGAGCTACATGATTCTTGTCCTACTAGTCATGGAGGCGGTAGACCTATATTAAATGGAGGTGGAACACCTATATCACATGACTTCATTCCTACGATTCCCGAACGTACTACAGCGACACCATCAGCTGATGTTGATATTAGGAGGTTAGCCGTTGGGGATTACGTATATCGTGTTCATGTTGATCGAGTGAGTGGTTATCTAGGGTTACTACAACAGATGAACCAAGATGGGGGACTTTATAGTGATGGAGATATTGATGAGCGGCATGGTCAAGCTACGCCACACAGTTCGAATAGCACAGACGTACATGTACGTGATTATGATACCTCACAGATGACATTTTTCACTAGCGTTGGGAAAAAGTATGTTTTAGATTTTTTAAGGTTTACAATTAAATTTATGTTGATTTTGTATGTTATATTTATACTTACTGGACTATATAGATGGTCCTTGGATAAGTTTCAAAGAAATCCCCAAAGAAGTGATCAAACAAATTCGGGTGAAATTCAAGGTATTATATTAAGTCGAGTATTTTCAATTTAAACATGGATTAATTATTTGTATATCTTATCATCATTCATTTTAAATTTACATTTTTAACTGATGGTTTTATTATTTTTATAGAAACCTTATGATTCGGATCAAAGACATGATGAGAAAATCAATACAAACTTTAAGTTTGGCATTCTGGAGCGATACATAGACATCATGAGTACGTATAGGGAAATATTAGCAAAGATGGCCATAACTACCGGACATGATATCTCAGTGGAACGGATTGACTTTGATATTATGTGGAATTTTGTACCTCGTGGGATGCAATCTCAGAGGAAGGATGATTTTTGCACGGTAAGCGGGTTAATACATTTTTGTTATTGTTTATTTGTTTTTCTATTATTATAAGTATACTACTCTTTAAAATAATGGAACACGGATGCGTGGCTGAAAAGATCTGCGAGCGGGAATAGTAACGGTAATACCACCGATGGTATTACATCATTTATATTTGTAGATAATAGATTTGGTACGGCCACCCACATTCTTGTAGTTGGTCTTGTTTACTCATCTGGATAAAGCTCCAAAGAAGAAGTATTTTGTTGGAGATGTTGAGGGAAAAAACTTTTGTACCAAGAGAGCAAGGGAAGCATATGTAAGATATCTTTACCATTTTTACCTTTTTTTGTCCCAACTTTTAGTATAATAACAATTGTGTTTTATTTTCTTGTATAAGGCGTACTCTCGAGCTTTTCTTGAGAAGTATGGGGATGATTTGCGTGATCACCCGATCGATGTGTTGAACTGTGGGAGAAAACCCAAAGGGAGATAAGTGGAGCATCGAGGACCAGTTATATCTATGGGATTGGATCCTTGGATATATAATTTTGGTTCAATGGGAAATCATCTGCTATTGCGGGGTGTTTATTGTCCTCTTGCGATTCTCAACAAGAGGTATATTTACTTAATAAATAGATTGTCTATATTGTAGATAAACAAAATACACTACTATAATGAAGCACTTTGTGACCCATGAAAACAGTCCCTAATATATTTATTTAAAAAACAGCCATGGAACTTACATGATGTGTGTCACGAAAACAGTTCCCAATAAGCCAAGAAATTACACAAAGTATTATGCTGTAATTATGAATGAAAAATGAAGTATTGCTATTATAAAGTATGTTGCAATTATGAATGAAAAAAATCCCTAAATAAATAATTTTTTGCTATTATTCGATTAAAAATAAAGTGTGTTGCTATTATGGATAAAAAAAATAAGTACAACAACTATATTGGTAGAAAAGTAAAGTATGTTGCTATTATGGAATATGTTTTTTGTATGTTTCTATAATGGATAAAAAATGTTGATATATATATTGTTTGTTTGCTAAATATATATGTTTGTTTTTAGGTTAAGGAGTTATGAACCCAACTTGAAAATGCGGAGAGGGAAAGAGTTTTGATGCAACAAAAACAAGAAGTAATGCCACAACAATTGGCTCAACTATTGAAACAATTTGCTAACCCTCTCGAAGATCGATGTTAGTTTTGTTGTTGAGAGTTTTTTATTAAACATGGTGGCAAAGTACAAAAACCTAATTGTTTTGGTGAAATATTAGAGAGTAACTATCATTTTTGTGAACTATTGGATATTTAGATAGTAGATTTTGTTGAAGTATTGGATATTTAGATCGGAACTACCATTTTGTTGAAGTATTGGATAGTGGTTAACATTTTGGATTTGTATTGAACTGTTTTTATACATGTTTATTATTATTGTGTTTAAAGTGCATATTTGAAGAATTTGTATTTGATTTATAGTTTATTTTATTATTTCTGCAAAAAAAATTGAATATTTATATTTTGTAGATTTTAAAAAACTGTATTATTACCAACAAAATACCTACAGAAAAATGTATGAAATTAAACTATTTTGAAAAACCAAACCGTAGGAAATTTTTTGTAATGGACCGTAGGAATTCCGTAGGAAATAAGGTCTATAAGACTTCTATAGGATAAATTTTGCCAGACAATCTTGTTGGAAATTCGTTGGAAATTTACTATGAAATATTTTGTAGGGAATTTGTTAGACAATTCATCGAAATTTTGTAGGAACCGTGTTTCCCATGACCCTTTTTTCCACAGACGATTTTCGTTGCAACTTTGTGGCTAAACCTTGTTTCCTACTAAATACCAACAAACTTGCTTGTAGGTAACTATCCAATTTTCTAGTAACGACATCCACTTATCTACCAAAAATGTTATTATTCCATACATATACTAAGCTAAATAAAAAAGTGTTATGACATTTTCATAACAAGTCTAACAAAATACAAACTACTCTGACCTGTCATCATCTTGATTGTCTTCATTTCCTATGAAATCACCTATTGGTTTATTCTTAGGAAACCACGCTAGACGTTCCGCGGTACACGTTCATGGAGCATTGATCGAGGATTCTCCAACTACATAATAAATTAAACCATATAAATTTATAAAGTAAACAACATAAACAAAAGTAACAAGTTAACAATTACCAAAATATAAAAAAACTAAAAATTACCAACCTAAACCGATTATCAATTCCCAAACTAGCAAACTATTTAATTATGTAACATCCATAAAAATCATGAAAATTTAAACTTTAAAAACCGACCCAAAGTCATAAATTGTTTACATCATAACTTTCAAAACATGTTCAATATCAGATTTTTCTCAAGACCTTAAGTCCAAAACATGAGGATGTGTACGGTCACACCTTCGCTTTCCCACGATCCTTTGAAGTACTTGAAACATAACCCAAAATTGTAAGCCAACGTGATTTTCCCCCAAAGTACCAACACATAAACAAATAACAGATATATAATAACGGCATGCAATGGGTCCATAGCTAAAAGACTGGATTACCCCTGAGCCCACATCATAAGTTGTTGGATTTAGTGTCTAAGCCCATAACTATAATTGGGATGTGCTTGACTCGATTGTAGCATGGTCCTTTTGGGTTGACTTCATCAGTGCAATTTGATAGGATGGACTTTTGATAATAAGGTTATTTGTGATTTATTAATATATTATAAATTTTAATATATTAATATGAAATCATATTATTTAATTAGTATTGATCAATAATTAATTTGGAATTAATTTAGTGATCAAAAGAGACTAATTAAATATATGGGGATTGATTGTGTAAATCAATCATTCTTATAGTGTGGGCCAATGATTCGTGTTTATTTAGGATGGGCTAAACCATTGATATAATCCATGGATAGTCCATGGAGGTATAACCCATGGAGCCTAAGTAATATGAAAGGTCATTAGGGTTTGCAAAGTGTAACGCTAGCATTTGCCACACTATAAATAGAGTCCCCTAGAGCCAAAATCGGTTTCTCCATCATTCCAAGAGAGTGATACACGCTTTTGAGCTTAATAACCTATTCTCTCAAGCCTTATCTTGGATATGGTGTTTGTGACCCATTAGAGGCATCACACTTGATGTGCTCAAGTTTTCAAAGGTCAAGAACTACAAGTTCTACTAAGAGGTAAGTTATCTAACTAGTTGTATTGTTCAATTGTTCAATTGTATGCTAGTTAGGGACAATGCTTTGGAAAAATGAAAATGCATGTATAATTAGAGAAAACATAGATCAAAAGCATTTAGGGTTGCATGTGCACTTAGGAAGTGTTATAGTGCTCAAAACCCAACATAAGTCTGGCCTGCCCTCGGGGGCCACAACTTATCTCTGGCTTGCTCCCCAACTTGTTCAGTCCTTGGACTGAATACCACCAAGCCCTCAGTTAGAGTCTGGCATGTCCTACCCGGCCCTCAGCTCGTATCAGGAATGCTCATGAGCCCTCAGTATGAGTCTGGTATACCCTTCCTGGCCCTCATCTCAGATCTAGATTTCTCCAGGGTTTGTTGGCTACAACACAGAGCAGTACAACCTCAACCCAAACCACACAATATGTCGATATATGATAGATATTAACATATCCATATAATCATACAGACAGTATTATAGGTAGTCCTATGGATCTACCAGACTAACATATCAAAACTAGCATGTATATTTATTCCATACTCATCATATCAACGAATATCAGGTTATCAAACCAATGGGTTGGCCTTGGTGCCTTTGACCCGTAAATACAGTGAAGAAAACTCACCTCACACTGCGAATCTCACAGAAAGAATATCTTGCTGCTGCCTTGCTAAAATCCCCGCACTACAAAATCACCAAAATAATCATCCATCAATAATCGGATCTGGTCTACACTTAGTGGCCAAACTAGGGTAAAAGTCCTTTTTACCCTTTACTCAACATGAACCAGATGTATGCCCAAACCAACAATGCAAAGGCCCAAAATACAGATAAACACCCAAGGCCCATACATGGCCTAGTATTCCAAATCGGGCCCAAACCCTTACATGGGCCTTTCCCCAAGGCCCAAAAACATTCCTAGTCTAAACAATTGCATTCAGATGGACCTCAAAACCCTAAGCATCAAAGCCCAAAAGAATGGCCCAATTTGAAGCCCAAAACGTCTGAAGCCCACTGACTGAGTATGCGGGGCGTACTCAGCTATACGCTAAGCGTACATGCTTTAGGGCTTGTACGCTGCGTGTACTGGCTTCTACGCCCAACGTACTCCTCACATTCAGCCAACTTCCGCATTTAGCCTTGAATCCCTTAAGACATTGCTCCAAAACATAGATCTGAAATCCTTGAGCTGGATTATCACGTAAAGTTGCTATCCTTGAGCTGGATTATCACGTAAAGTTGCTAACTTTATGTTCATGCAAGGCTAAATGAAGCACTTAAAGCTCAGAAGGATTTAATAGGTGACTTAATGCATGCATGTGACCAACAATCCCATAAAGCTTGCACCTTTATGCTTAAGGAATCCATAATAAGCTCAGATCTAAAAGAATAAGTCCTTAAAACGTCCCGACTCCTCAAACCAACCGAAAAACGGACCAAAATCATAAAAACTAACATATGAATAGATCTAAGCATGGAGAAGACAAGGTTTGAACTTGATACTTCAATAAGCTTGCAACAAGGGTGATGATTCTGGATCTATAAGCTTCCCACCAAGAAAGGCAACTCGAATCTTCTTTACTTCCTTCACAATGGGCAAAATAACCACCAAAATCTTCTCAACAACTTAAGAATACCACAAAGAAGGATTAACGGTCGATTTAGGGTTTTAGGAGGTTTGCAGAATGGTTAAGAGGCCATCCCTAAATATATAAGGTGCTTAAATAGGGTACAACACACTTAAATTAGGGTTTCTTGCACTCCTCGTATGCCCACCGTACGACGACGAGGCTTCGTGATCAATCTACTGACTACGCTCAGCATACGCCAATGTATGACTCACGTAATGGTCCTTGGATAAGTACGCCCTACGTACTCCCCTTGTACGCGCAACGTACAAGGGTTTTCACTTAACCCTAACTTCTTCCGAAGCCCATAACTTCTTTATTATAAATATGATTTTGACGATCCTTATATCCATGAAAAGGTAACGAGAAGCTCTTGACTTTTATCATCTCATAATCGCCTTAAAATATCCCGAAAAAAATCCAATTTCCATAAGAGTCTGAGTTGACACTTTACGAAAATACCCCTTGGCTCCAAAACACAAGTCGAACCTTCGTATCATCTAAATTTACATCTCCCGCATCCAAATAGTTGTAGATCTAATTTACTCAAAGGTACTAAGCCTGATAATACATGATCTTTGGCCACCACCCCGGAATAGGAAACGATTCGGAATAGGGTGTTACAACTATCCCCCACTTAAATTAGATTTCGTCCTCAA